ACAAAATACAAAAGATTAATATACAGAACTCTTCAAGAAATTAGGAAGGAAATTAATCAAAACAAAGAACACACAATAGAGTAAATTAAAAAGGTTAGAGAAGACCATAATGATGAATTTAACAGGCTGCAAGAATCCATAGAGAGACAGCAATCAGAAATCCAGAATATTGACAATAAAATTTCAGAATTAGACAACTCAGTAGAAAGTCATAGGAGTAGAATTGAGGCAATGGAAGTCAGAATTAGTGGGACTGAAGATAAAGCACTTGACACCAACTTATTTGAGGAAAAATCAGATAAAAGGATTTAAAAAAATGAATAAACCCTAAGAATTATGTGGGACTCTATCAAGAGGAATAACCTATGAGTGATTGGAGTACCAGAAAGGGGTGGGTGGGTGGTGGATAACAGAAAATACAGAGAGAATTGTTGAAGATTTGTTGGCAGAAAACTTCTCTGATATCATGCAAGATGACAAGCCATCTATCCAAGATGCTCATCGAACCCCACATAAGGTAAATCCCAAAAGAAAGTCACCAAGACATATTATAATCAAATTTGCCAAAACCAAAGATAAAGAGAGAATTTTAAGAGCAGCTAGGGATAAACAAAAAGTCATCTACAAAGGAGAGTCAACAAGAATAAGCTTAGACTACTCAGCAGAAACCATGCAGGCAAGAAGGCAATGGGATGACATATATAAAGTCTTGAAGGAAACAAAATGCCAGCCAAGAATTATACATCCAGCAAAACTGTCTCTCAAATATGATGGCGAAATTAGGGCATTTCCAGATAAACAGAAGTTTAGGGAATTTGCAGGAACCAAACCAAAATTACTAGAAATACTAAAGGGATTCCTCCAGTTAGAAAATCAGTAACATCAGATAATAACCCAAGACTAGAACACAGAACAGAGCAACCAGATATCAAGCCAGATAGGGAAGACACAAAAGTAAATCAAAGCTAAAACACTGAAAATAGGGAAACATGTTAATATGTAAAAGATGACAAGATTAAAACAAAAAAGAAGGACTTAAAAAATGTAGACATAGATTTTTCATATGGAGAGGAAGTCAAGGCGATATAAAGAAATAAAAGACTGGTATAAATTTAGAAAAATAGGGGTAAATATTAAGGTAACCACAAAGGAAACTAACAACCCTACAAGTCAAAATAAAAAACTAGAAAAAAATAAAGACTCAGCAAACACAAAATCAACAACAACAAAAAAGATGAAAAGAAAATACACAAAGAAAAATGACTAAGCACAGAAAATTAAGTGGAACAAAGAAACTGCCAACAACCCACAAAAAAAGACATCAGAATGATAGCACTAAACTCATACCTATCAATAATTACACTAAATGTAAATGGACTAAATGCTCCATTAAAGAGACAGAAAGTGGCAGATAGGATAAAAAAACACTTTCCATCTATATGCTGCCTACAAGAGACACACCTTAGACTTAAAGACACAAACAAACTAAAACTCAAAGGATGGAAAAAATACATCAAGCAAACGACACTCAAAAAAGAGCAGGAGTGGCAATATTAATCTCTGACAAAATACTTTAAAGTAAAATCCACCACAAAGGATAAGGAAGGACACTATATAATGATTAAAGGGTCAGTACACCAGGAGGACATAACTATAATAAACATTTATGCACGCAATGACAGGGCTCCAAAATACATAAACTCTAACAGCACTGAGAAGAGAGATAGACAGCTCCACAATAGTAGTAGGAGACCTCAACACACCACTTTCAGTGAAGGACAGAATATCTAGAAAGAAGCTCAACAAACACACCGAAGAGCTAAACGCTACAATCAACCAACTTGATCTCATAGACACATACAAAACCTTCCACCCAACAGCAGCCAAGCATACTTTCTTTTCCAATGCACATAGAACATTCTCCAGAATAGACCACATATTAGGCCATAAAGCAAACCTTAACAAAATCCAAAGCATCGAAATATTGCAAAGCATCTTTTCTGACCATAAAGCCATAAAAGTAGAAATCAACAACAGAAAAAGCAAGGAAAAAAAAAAAAAATCAAACACATGGAAACTGAACACACCTTACTCAAAAACTAGTGGGTTATAGAAGAAATTAAGGATGGAATAAAGAAATTCACAGAATCAAATCCTACCAGAACCTTTGGGACACAGCAAAAGCAGTGCTCAGAGGTCAGTTTATAGCAATAAATGCACACATCCAAAAAGAAGAAGAGGCCATAATCAAAACATTAACCCTACAACTGGAACAAATAGAAAGAGAGCAGCAAAAGAAGCCCTCAGGTGCCAGAAGAAAGGAAATAATAAGAGTTACAGCAGAATTAAATGAAATAGAGAATAGAAAAACAATTGAAAGAGTTAACAAGACCAAAACTGGTTCTTTGAAAAGATCAACAAAATTGATAAACCACTGGCCAAAGTGACAAAAGAGAGGATGCAGACAGATAACCCATATAAGAAATGAGATAGGTGATATCACAAGAGACCCAACTGAAATTAAAAGAATTATAACAGAATACTATGAAAAATTGTACTCTAACAAAGTTGAAAACCTAGAGGAAATGGATAAATTTCTAGAAACTCACTACCTACCTAAACTAACAAAGAAACATGCTCTCAGGTGCTGAGAATTCTATTCATCATATTCCTTGGGCTCATGATACATTCTCACCTTTGGCTCATACATTGACTCAAACATTGTTGACTCATATAAAAATTCAGATTTGTGTCTTCTCTTGAGAAATCAGTTTACTTGCACTGGGTCTGCTTCCCTACCTACATTGCAACCATTTGAGGCTGCTCAGAAGTACTGTCCCTGCTTGTACCCATCTCTATTTTCTACTGACCACAAGGCTGCATTTCAGCTGATGTTTATCATTGAGCTTGAGCAGTTATTCTTATAATAAAGTGAAGAATGAACTATTTTGTTATGTATATTTGACTCATTTACATGACCTGCCCCGTAAGTATCAGCATTTGAGTTTGAGAGCCCTGGTGGCACAGTGGTTAAGAGCTCAGCTGCTAACCAAAAGATTGGCAGTTAAATCCACCAGCTGTGCGTTGGAAACCCTATGGGGCAGTTCTACTTTCTCCCATAGGGTCACTATGTGTTGGAATCAACTCGACAGCAATGGGTTTGTTTGTTTGTTTTTAACTGTTGGGTAACATTTTGGTGTCCTTAATTACAACTACCATTCATTGAGTCCTTATTATAAGCAAAGCACTGAACTAAGAATTTTTCATACATTATCTTTTTAATCCCTACGAAACCATGTAAGGTAAATAAGAGCTGTTGTCTTATTTTACAGATGTGGAAATTGAAGTTTAAAGAGGCTAAGTAACTTACCCAAGATGATACAACTTCTAAGAGGTGACACTGGGACTCAAACCTTGTCTCCCTGAGTCCAACCTGGGGCCTTTAAACTTTATATTACACTGCTTCCCTAACCAATAGTCTTATAACAACAGAATGACTGCTATCATGCAATGTTTCTCCCCCATACTCAGCCCATGGGGGACAGACCACCAGGGTGAGGAACTGAGTACTGGGAGGGCTCAGGAACACTGCCCTGCCCTGGACATGGCCCCGTGGTGGACACCCGCTGGATGCCTGTGTTGGTCCAGAGCTGGTGCTTCGTTGGCTCCAAGAGCTATAGCTGTGCTGGAGAGGGAGGACAAGAGGTGCTGGGGTCACTGTGACTCTGAGGCAGCAGCTCATAAATCACCAGCTCTGGCACTGGTGTGTGTGTGTGTGTGTGTGTGTGTGTGTGTAGGGCTAGGCTCTACATGGGGAAGCTCATATAAAGGGTTTCAAACTCTAGCCTCACAGCTGTCAGACCTTCGAGATGGGGAGGCTGCTGCTCTGGGTTGGTGAGTATGACAGGTCCCACCCCCGATGGTATCACAGCCCAGGAGGTACCAGGCTTCATGAGTTTGCCCTCTCTCTGGTGGCTGAAAGAGCAGCCTGGGACTTAGGGGACCTGGATTAAGTAGATGTAGGATAGGACACCACCACCTGTCTGTCAGTTTATCATACTGTGGTGGCTTGCATGTTTCTATGATGAGGAAGCGTCAAAATACAGCAGGGTCACCCATGGTGGACAGGTTTCAACAGATCTTCCAGACTAAGACAGACTAGGAAGAAAGGCCTGGAGATCTACTTCTGAAAATTAGCCTTTGAAAGCCCTATGGATCACAACAGAATATTGTCCAATATAGTGCTGGAAGACGAGCCCCCTAGGTTGGAAGACACTCAAAATACACAGTGGCTGCAACAATGGACTTGAGCGTATCAATGATCATGAAGATAAGAGAGGACCAGACAATATTTCATTCTGTTGTACATGGGGTCACCATAAGTTGGAGCCAACTCGACGGCAGCTAACAACAGGATGGGACATAGTGAAGGTCAGAGGTGCCCAGGGAGGAATGATCAGAGCAGTGACTCTCAAATCTGATAGTATAAAATAAAAAAAAAATTAAAAAAAAATATTGATGCCCAGGTCCCACCTCAGATCAATTAAATCAGAACCTCTTGGGGAGGAGCCAGGATATTTAATGTACAGCCAAGGATGAGAACCACTGGCTTAAATTTTTCACCAAGACTTTTAAAAAACATCGTTGTCCCTGCGCAAAGTATGCGTGTGCGCGTGTGGTATTAGAGCGAAAAGGAACTTAGATAGATCTAGCTTCACCTGCCCAACTTTAGAGAAAAGAGAATGCGTGAATGGCGTGTGTGCCTCCATTTGTACGTCTGCCTCTGGATGACATGCTGAGTGGGTGGCGTGTTGGCTGACTGGGGTGGGCACTGGGGCATGTCACTCTGGGCATGTGCATGTGTCTGAGAGTTATTCCTTCCTTGCTTCCTGCAGGGTTGGCTCTTGTGCTGGAACGCCACAATGGTAAGGAAATTGTATTCTCTCCAGAGCAAGGGAGATTCTCTGGCTGAGAGGTCCTCCGTGTTGAGTGTCCCACCCTGCCCTGGCTCCTTGGTCAGGGATTATTGATACCATTCAGTTCAGCAGCGGGTGTTCAGCCACCTGCTGTTTGTCAGTCACTTGCTGCGTGTCAGGATCCAGCTGAGAATCAGGATTTCATAAGGCATTCTTTTCCCCTTGGGGCCTCAGCAGTGGGGGAGGGCCCGGACCTCAGGGTAGTTTTGGGGAATGTGGGGGAAGGAGTTACAGTGGCCTGGGTTCTTGGGCTGGTGTCCACACTGCTCTGTGGAAGCTGAGGGCCCCCCTTCCTTGGTCTCTGCCAGCTAATGTGTGCTCTCCCTGGCCAGGTGCTGCCCACAAACTCATGTGTTATTTCACCAACTGGGCATATAGTCGACCAGACCCTGCCTCGATCTTGCCCCAGGACCTGGACCCCTTTCTCTGCACCCACCTGATATTTGCATTTGCCTCAATGAAAAACAGCCAGATTGTGGCCAAAAATGCCCAGGATGAGAATATTCTCTACCCAGAGTTCAACAAGCTCAAGGAGAGGTGTATTCCTGCTGGGTGTGGGGGTCATATTTTCAGATTTTATAGACTAAGCTGATTTTTCTAGTTCTCTTCCACTTTCCTCTGATTCTTTCAGTCCTAACCTCCTCTTCAAGTGGCTCCTGAAGCCTCCTCCCCTACTTTAGAACTCCCTGTTGACAAGCACCCTGAGCTCTTTCTTGCCTGCTGGTGTTGTCTCTGCTGTAGTCTTTGCCTCAGTGTCCTCTCTCTCTTCTCTGCCTGGCAACCTCATAACTCACTCTTAAGCCCCTCCCTCCCTCCCTCCATCCACCTTCTTCCCCTACTTCCCATCTCCCTTATTTCTCCATTGTTCCTTAAAATAACGGAGGGAAGAAGGAAGGGAAAGAAATGATGGATGCAGCTGCTCACTGGCGTAAGGACTTGGTTTACCAACCCTCTCTCCCACATCATAGGAACAGGAAGCTGAAAACACTGCTGTCTGTTGGTGGGTGGGACTTCGGCACACCAAGGTGAGAGTGTTTGGTTGCCATCTTCCCTCTGGGGTGAGAGGTGATGGCAGAAGGGAGGGTGGAGCAGGCAGGCTAGAAGTGAGGACTGGGGAGGGGGAACCAGGTTGGCCGTGGGGAGAGCAAAACTAGTGCAGACACTTCCCTGAGCCCTGGCCTGGCCCTGACTCAGGGACCTCTAGACCTCTTCTCCCTGGGGGTGGAGGTTTGCGGGTGGAAGATAAGGAAGTTCTAGCAGAGACGGTGGAGGAGGAGGGGGCGGAGACAAAATGGACACTCACAATTCGCCACTGGACCCTTCCTAAGAGGCAGGGGTTTTGTCTCAGAGCAGGAGGAGGGCTCTGGGCCTACTCATTTAATAAATGGAGTTGAAGGACTGCATCAGATGTTAAGCTTACTGCCCTGGCACATAGTAAATGCTCAATACATGGTAAAAACTCGTTGCTATCGAGTCCATTCTGACTCATAGTGAACCTATAGGACAGACTAGAAGTGCCACGTAGGGTTTCCAAAGAGCTGCTGGTGGATTGAACTGCCAAACTTTTGGTTAGCAGCCGTAGCTTGCAGTAGCTCTTAGCCACTGCTGCTCTTATTAGCACTTTACACTCCACAGGGCAATGTAGAGATTACAAAATGCCTTTCTATTTCCTGTCTCCCATTTCCTGGCTGAGGCCTGGGGTAGAGGCCAGTGCCAATCTTCCTGTCTTAAGGGAAATGAGATGAACGAGATGCAGACCTGGTGGCAGGGGAGTGTGTGGGGATGCACCTTGTAAGCATCTTCCAGTGACAACAGAGGAAGAATTTGGGGAGAGTTTTTGGTTTTTAGGTGATAACTAAGGACCCCTGGTGGCTCATTGGTTAAGTGTTTGGCCGCTAACCGGAAGGTCAGTGGTTTGAACTCACCGGCCGCTCAGCAGGAGAAAAGACCTGGCAATCTGCTCCCGTAGTAAAGATTTCAGCCTAGGAAACACTACAGGGCAGTTCTACTCTGTTATATAGGCTCATTATGAGCTGGAATTGACTCGACAGCACACAGCAATAATGACAGGTGATAAGTGGCTTTGCCCAACCCCAGGCTTCACCTCTCCCGTGATGATCGCTTTTTGAACACTTACTATTTGCTGGATGCTGAGCCAGGTGGTGTACACACATTATCTTATGAATACTTGAAAGCTCACAGGGTGGTTGTTTGTATCCCAAACTTGGTAGAAAAAGAAAGCAAAAGTCAGAGGTCTGCAGGAATTTGCCAGATGGTACCTACGTGTCACTCAGAGATCACCCAGTGGGGAGGTGGCAAATGGACAATGAAACCCAGGCCCGACTAATTCTGTAATTTTAGACTGCCACTAAAATTACTATTTTAGTAATTTTCTAACCATTGCATGCCGGTCTAGCTGAGAATTGCCTAAATTTTTGCTCCAGTAAGTTAAAATTTTTTTTTTTTCAATAGTATCTCCACTACAGAAGAGAAAACAAAAAAAAAAAAAAAAAAAAAAAAAAAAAATCAAGCAAGCAAATAAAAGAGAAAAGGGACTGGAGCCCCTTGTAAGAGCATGGAGCTCTCGTGCCATGCTCTGCAGCCTAGGCCCAGATTAGATGGTAGATCTTTCTGGAAGTGCTGACCCTTGCCTCATGTTTTCTCCCCTAATCCAGTCAGGGAAAGAATGTCAGTGGTAGCACAGGTTTTAGGAATGGGATAGTTACCCTGGAGGAAGCAGGCAGGGAAAGGCCAAATGCCTTACCCATGGTTGAAGCACATTTTTGGTGGTAGAGCTGGACTAAGCCAGGTCTTCTGACCCCAGGCTGTGCTCTTTGTCTTGTATCTGCTGCTCCCTGTGCACTTGGCCAGGGACAGGACGTGGTTTTTATCTCCCTGTTGCCTGAATTCCCCATTCCTGGCTATTGGTGCTTCTGTCTGGTAACCCCCAGTTCACAATTTAAGACCTTCTCTCATTCCCTACACCTGCCTTAATGAGAATTTGATAAAACGTTTTTAGAGTTTAAAGATCCCCCTTCCTTTCCTTCAGCCACATCCTCCATGCCACCCACAGGCCACAAACCACGGGGCCTTGTAGGAGGTTGCGATCCTTGGAGGAGGTTGTGATCCTGCAGGTAGTGTTCCTTGCCTCACCCCCCGGTCTCCCTGCAGGTTCACCGCTATGTTGTCCACACCCACCAGGCATGAAAAGTTTGTTGATTCAGTTATATCCCTCCTGAGGACATATAACTTCGATGGTCTTGACCTTTTCTTCTTGTACCCTGGACTGAGAGGCAGCCCCATGCATGACCGGTGGAATTTTGTCTCCTTAATTGAAGTAAGGCCAGTATGGCAGCCCCAGGCTCCAGAAATGGTCTAGTTTTATCACATCTGGGCTCACAGCAGAGAAGGAGCATAAGGCTGGGGATGGGGCAGGGACAGGAGAGAGGTGACAGAATGTTCTTTTACTACCATCACCTTAGAGGTGTTGGGCAAAAGAGCTCTGAGCATGTGTCCTATGGTCGCTCTTTTCTCTGTCTGCATCTGGGTCTTGGTTCAATCGTCTAGTCTAAGCAACGCCTCTCTGTGCAGCCTCCTGGACTCCCCCAGGCAGTGTCAGTCTAAATTCTGTGCTCCTGAGCCTGCTCGTTGTTGTTAGCTGCCATGGAGTTGGCTCTGGCTCATGGTGACCCCATGCACAATGGGATCAGACCATTGTGATCCATAGAGTGTTCATTGGCTGCTGTTTGGAAGTAGATGTCCAGGTCTTTCCTCCTAGTCCATCTTAGTCTGGAAGCTCTGCTGAAACCTGTTCAACATCATAGTAGTATGCAAGCCTCCACTGACAGACAGATGGTGGCTGTGTGTGGGATGCATTGGTGGGGAATCTGACCCAAGTCTTATGCAGGGAAGATGAGAATTCTACCACCGAACCACTACTGCCCCGTCCTGAGCCTCTATTAAATCACTCACCATGTTGGGCCATGTCTGCTGCTCTCATGAGCCTGTGTCAAGACCTGTGGTAGACTCACCTTTATATCCCAGAACCTGGCTCAAGGGGCTCAGGATGATACCTGCCAGTCTCCGTGCCTCTCTCTCTTTCCCTGACTCTCTGTTTTGCCTGATTCTCTGTGTCTGTCTCCCTCTCCTTTTAGGAGCTCGTGTTAGCCTTCAAAAAGGAGGCAATCAACAACCTGCACCCAAAGCTGCTGCTGTCTGCTGCTGTCTCTGGGGCCCCAAATATCATCCCAACATCTTATGATGTCCGCGTTCTAGGAAGGTGAGTGGATGCTGCCTTGGTGAGGCAAGATGTTGACAGGAAGGAGGCATCTCAACAGCTTGAGCCCCAGAGCTGCCCAAGCTTTGTCCCTGAGCTCCCCATATGCCTGCCTGGGTGTAAACGTAAGTTTAGGGGGTAGATTTAAGAGCATGGATGGGGACAAGGATTAGCTCCATTATACACTGGGGCTTTCTCTAGACGATCAGAGGGAGATGATGGAGTACTCCCCCTCCCCCAACATTGTCATCAGGGAAGATTCTTCTGTGTGGCCCATTGCTGGATGTCACAAGGACAGAATCCCATGAGCCTGGCCTCTGCCTTCCCAGATGACAGTTATAGACTGATTCTGTGCAGCAGGTGGGTGCCATCAGAGGGACGGATGAATTAACAACCACGGCCACAAAACCAAAAATTGGAATGCATCGTCAAACCCAGTTTTCAGAGCACAGGTCTCCATTCAAAAATATCAAAGCCAGACAGAGAATGGCTCATAAATCTTTCTGGACATGCTGGCTCTGGGCTAATTTTCTTGAACCTCAGGAATCAAGTAGTTGCAAATGAGAAAAGTGCTGGGGATGCAGAACAAAAGCAAGGAGGGGCTGTTGCTGTGTGAGATGGCCCTAGAGGAGCTGTTTCAGTGTGGGAGGAGAAGGGCATAGAGTTTCAGTGCAGCTTAGAGTTCATTTGTGCTGGTCTTGAAATCAGGCTGGATTGAAGGAGCCCTGCCTTCACCCAGCCAGGTGATCTCAGGAAAATTAATGAACCCGTCTGGGTTTCAATTTCTTCTTTAGAGACAGTTATAGTACTTACCTCATAGGACATTTGCCAGATTACAATTGAATGAGGTAATCAGTTTAAACTATTATTCCTGTCACCTGGTAAGTGCTCAGTTATACCTGGAATGTAAGAAAACAAGGAGCCCTGGTTAAGAGCTCAGCTGCTAACCGAAAAGTTGATGGTTTGAACCCACCCAGCGGCTTCACAGAAGAAAGACCTGCCATCTGCTTCCGTAAGGATTACAGCCAAGAAAACCCTATGGAGTAGTTTTATGCTGTCTTATGGGGTTGCTATGGTCAAAATTGACTTGACGGCACCCAGCAACAACAACAATTAACAAAGCTTTCTGAAAGAGGTGGGTTTCAATGGCTGCTTGAATGGTAGAGCTGAACCCCTTTCGCTTGTACATGGGACCCTGTATTCCAGCTGACAGGACTATTCTCCAGTCTTACTACATCGCTAATTTCCTATCATTCTTCGAGATGTAGTTCAATTATTCTGTCTTTTTTGGTACCTTCCCTGACTCACCAAGGCAGAGTTATGCTCACGTGGCTCTGGACTCGCACAATGCATGCAGACCTCTGCTAGCACCTGTATCAGGCCTGTTTGTATTTGTTTTCTTGTCTGACCTCGGCCTAGGCTGTGAGTGCCATGTATGCTTTCAGGACAGCATAGATTTTAATGCACAACTGTCCCTAACCAGCAGTTTGTGCCAGCGGTACTATCTTAAGTGTAGGCACAGCCTTGGGCAGGCCCCAAATGCAGAACGGGGAGGGAAGCTTGGGTGGCCAATGCATAGTTAGGTAGTACTGTGATGATCTCCTCCTTCTGTCCCCTACAGATGCCTGGATTTCATCAACATCTTGTCTTATGACTTCCATGGGTCCTGGGAGAAGTTCACAGGACACAGTAGCCCCCTGTTCTCTCTGCCTGGAGACCTCAGATCGTCGGTAAGAAAAGGAAAGATCTCAGATGGCCCAGATATCTGCTGCTGATCCCAGGCCATTGGTTTTTAATAACAAGGAGGGGTTTGTGTTCTTCCGATATGCAGGCATATGCCATGAATTACTGGCGAAGGCTTGGGGCACCCTCAGAGAAGCTCATCATGGGGTTACCCACCTATGGACGTACCTTTTGCCTCCTCAAAGCCTCTGAGACTTGGTTGGGGGCCAGGGCTATGGGACCAGCATCTCCAGGGAAGTACACCAAGCAAGCTGGCTTTATGGCTTATTTTGAGGTGACGAGAAGAGGGATCTCTTCCTAAATGGGGCAAGGGCAAGGATAGAGGCAAGAGCAAGGGTGAGGGCTAGAGACAGGGCAAAATAGTTCCCTGGGGCAAGGGAAATGTACTATCTGGGATATTTTCTTTTTCTTTAAGAGAACTATTTTAGTTCTTTGTGAGGGATAAGGGGCTGGATGGAGTATGAATGGAGGGGGACAGATATTTCACCCCTTAAAAGGATCTAAAATGTTATACAGGTCAATTCTGACTTACTATGGCCTAATCAAAAAGCATGAATAGTTGAATATAAACAATTCCAAACATATACAAAAGTACCACCACAGTCCCATCACCAAGCTTCAGTGATTAACAACTCATGACCCATCTTATTTCATCTCTGCTCCCCAACTCCCTCCCTCTCCACTACTAAATTAGTTTGAAGCAATTCCAAGACATCCTCTACTATATCTTCTTTCTCCTCTACTACAATTACCACCACCCCCATCCCCATCTCAAAAAAGCTTACTATTGAGTAGAGGAAGGGAATATAAAACAGAATAGAAGACTATAAGAGGCACAAGACTGTTTCAGGTGGTTGAAGAGATATGGAAAAATCTATGGGGCAGCTAGATTCTGAGCAGAGCTTTGAAGCACAGAAGGATTCTGATGGGCAGAAATGACAGGATGGAATGGACTTCCAAGGTAGTAGGGACAGCAGGTGCAAAAATACAGGGTGTTTAGGGGTTGCCAGATGGAGAGCTATGTTCTTACCTTAGACAACAGTAGAGTAGGTGCCAAATGTCTTCCCAATCTCTCTTCTGTCCTAGATGGATGGAGATGTTTTTCTGCCTATCCAAAGAAATATGGTTATAAGTGATGGCAGAGTTGAAATACACCTTCTCACTTATTGACTGTCTTGTTATCTGAAATTTTTCATTTATGACAATAGTAAAAAATCTATGGACTATTTTGCACAGTAACAATGTACGTCTGGCAGTAATGAATGCTGCGGTGCTAGACGAGAGTAATGTTGGCTTTGATGGTTAAGGTTATGATTTTTAGTGGTTTGGCAGTTATGTAATGATGTAATTTGGCAGTTATGTAATGATATAATTTGGCAGTTATATAGTGATGTAGTCATCCTCCACTTTCACATAACACTGATTTCACATAACGAGCTTCTCTTTGGAACCTAGCCATATAGATAAGTGAGGAGAGGGTGTAATGTTCTTTTTTTTTTTAAATTAATTTTTTATTGTGCTTTAGGTGAAAGTTTACAGAGCAAATTAGTTTCCCATTCTATAGTTTATATATGAAGTGTTCCATGACATTGGCTGCATTCCCTACAATGTGCTAGCACTCTTCCCATTTCCACCCTGGGTTCCCTGTTTCTTTTTGTCTAAATTTTCTACCCCTTCCTGCCTTCTCATCTTTGCTTTTGGACAAACGTTTGTACTTTTGATCTTGTATAATTGATTGTTCTAATGAACATGTTCCCTTAGGGTGTTATTGTTTATTTTATGGGCCTGTTTATTGTTCGGCTGAAAAGTGGTCTCTGGGAATGTCTTCACTTCCAGGTCAGAAGGGTGTCTTAGGGCCATAGTCTCAGGAGTTCCTCCAGTCTCTATCAGACCAGTAAGTCTGGTCTTTTTTGTGAATTTGGTTTTTTGTTCTATATTTTTCTCCGTCTCTGTTCAGGACTCTCTATTGTGATCCCAGTCAGACTGGTTGATAGTGGTAAGAGGGTGTAATGTTATTGAAGGATATTATGGGTCAAAGATTTTTATAGGCAGAATCTTAAAAGCATCAAAACAAATGACTTAGACATTAACTTCTGCAGTGCAACTTGAACACTTCTGCTTGTTCATAACATATAGCATAGTTTTTAGCACCATGCTGGGTGCAAGTAGACATTCAAATGCTTGATTGATTGTGACAACCTAGTCCCTGCCTTCAAGACCTTTAAGTCTACTAGTGATTCAAAAGCTAATTGATAACTGCCTATATGGGGCAGTTTGTGCTGAGATCTAATGAACAGGGAAGAGACTTGTTTACAAAAACACTTTGAAAAAAAATACAGGTTTGGTCAAGGGTCAGATATATTGTTGTTAGTAGTTTTGTGTTGATATCATTTACCAAACCCTGGCTTAGTTTCTGAAGAATGTCACCCACTCCTGTGTTCTCTCGCTTTTTCCATCATGGACATTAGAGGAAGGAACATGTAATGTTAGGAATTTATTCAGAATAGCAAGGTCACAGAGTAACTTCTCTACTCCCTCTTTGGTCTTCCTTCTTCTCACTCCCTGGTGAGGGATTCTTGGACTCTTTATCCCTGGGAAAGGAACAAGTGTGTCTGCTGGTGCTTCTCTCTATGGCATTTGATGTTACTAACCTTGTGATCCTTCTGGCAGGTTTGCTCCTTTGTTCAGAGAGCAAGGAAGCATTGGATTGAATATCAGTTTGTCCCATATGCCTATAAGGGGAAGAAGTGGGTTGGCTATGACGATGCAGCCAGCTTCAGTTACAAAGTAAGACCCTGGCTCTTTCTTGCTCCAGCATATAGTTTACCTTTGGCTTTCATGGGTCTTTGGTCTGTACAATGTGTGTGCGTGCACACGTGTGCATGTATGGGTAGAAGGCAAATAGGTGAGGATGTTTAGATCAGATGAGTTTCAGGCACACCCAAATTTTAGTTTTACCTAGAGTTTCATAATCTCACCTAGTCCAACCCTCTTATTTTGAAGGGAAAGAAACTAGGTGTTGAAGGGAGAAGTGACTTCTCTCAGTTCACATGGCTTTTTGGTGAAAGTCTCTTCTCTTCCATTTGGATCAGATGATTTCATAACAGGTAAATACCAGTATATGGCAAAACAAGCTAAATACTCAATGAATGCTGCTGATATTTGGCAGAGGCTGGGTAGTCAGGGAAGCCTTCCTGAGGGTGGTGAGCAGGAGAAGATGATGACCTGACAAAGGGCTAAGTGCACAGAAAGCTCATTTTGGGTTCAAAGAAGAATTTGGGTGGAGCAGAGGCTTTTTATAAAGTGTAACACAAGGCAGTAGAGGAAAATGTAAACCAGTTTATGAAAGGACTTGAATGTGTTGGAGGTGTTTGGTTTTCATCAAGATACTATTCTGGTTACTCTTTTTTTTTTTTTTTTTCCTGTGAGCAATAAACAGCCTGTTCTCTAATCCAGAGGGGTGTGTATGTGTATACATATAGCACATATATATGTATGTGTGTATATGAGTATTAGAGTTCCTGGGTGGTGCAAATGGTTAAGATGCTTGGCTGCTAACTGAAAGGTTAGAGATTCAAGTCCACCTTGGTGCCTTGGAAGAAAAGCCTGGAAAGCTACCTTAGAAAAATCAGCCATTAAAACGCTATGGAGCACAGTTCTGCTCTGACACACGTGGAGTCATCATGAGTTGGAACTGACTCAACAGCAACTGGTACTGGCATATGTGTGTGTGTGTGTGTGTGTGTGTGTGTGTGTATCTGGCAGGTAACTTGTTAGTTTATAAGTGGGTTAAAAATCTTCACAGTTTCAGACTAAACCATAATTGGGTCACTCCTTCCATTTATTTTATTTACATTTGGGGAAAGTAAACCCCAGAAAAGGGCCAAGTCATACAGCTGTTTTTATAAGATGGAGTCTGTCTTTCCCATTAGCCTTGGGAGAGAACTTTGGATTTGAGTCTAAACTGCCATTTTGTTATATCTGAGCTTTTAAAAATCATGGATAAAAACCTTCATTTTCTCATCCATGAAAAGGGCATGCTATTATCTGCCTTATCCCTACTTTATAACATCACTGTGAGATAAGGTATGTAGAAATGTTTTGTAAATAACAAAGCAATATCTATACTTTAGTATGATGATAATGATGATTAGCAGCTGGGGAACCTATAGAAGTCATAATATCTAACATTTATTGAATCTTTAATATATATCAGGCATTGATCTAAATATTATACATACAGGATTTATTTTGATTCAAAAATGTTGGAAATGTTATTATCCCTCTTTTACAGATGAGGCAACTAAGACACAGAGGGGTTATGTAACTTTTTAAGGGTCCCATAGCTAATAGTGGTAGAGGCTGGATTTATATCCAGGCGACACTTCTAATTACCCTGCTATATTGCCCTCTGAAGGTCCATCTTATGTTTTTGGCCATTTTACTCAGTCTGGAGGCTGGCCAGTACGATAGGTTGATTGATTGCTTCTTTTATAGGCAACGTTCATAAAGAAAGAGCATTTTGGGGGGGCCATGGTATGGACATTGGACCTGGATGACGTCAGGGGCACTTTCTGTGGCAATGGCCCTTTCCCCCTTGTCCACATATTGAAGAATCTCCTAGTGAATGATGGTAAGTAGCTATGACTTAGAACCTGGGGTTGGAAGTTGGGTAACTAGGCACTGTCTTAGTTACTTAGTGCTGCTGTAACAGAAATACCACAAGTGGATGGCTTTAACAAACAAATTTATTTTCTCATGGTTCAGGAGGTTGGAAGTTTGAATTCAGAGCACCGGCTGTAGGGGTTACCATTCTCTCTCTGTCGGCTCTTTGGACCGGGTGATCGTCATGTGGCTTGATGTTTCTCTTCTCCCATCTCATTTAGCTCGCTTGCTTGTTTCGTCTCTTTTATAATTTCAAAAGAGATTGACTCAAGACACAACCTTTGCTAATCCTGCTTAATTAACATAACAAAGACACCTTATTCCCAAATGGGATAATAATCACAGACATAAGCAAAAAAGAACCAAACGTGTTGCTGTGGAGTCGATTCCGACTCATAGCGACCCTATAGCACAGAGTAGAACTGCCCCATAAGGTTTCCAAGGAGCTGCTGGTGGATTCAAACTGTGACCTTTTGGTTAGCAGCCAAGCTCTTAATCATTGTGCCACCAGATTAGGAATTATAACATAATTTTGGGGGACACAATTCAATCTACAACAGGCACTGAGGAGAGGAGGGCTTTTCTGCTAGGTTTAAAGACGGTGTGCTTGCCTTTTTGGTGAGGCAACATGAAATTGAGGGAAGAGAATAAGCTTTGATGTCAGGCCAATCTATTTTCAAATCTTGGTTTGGATATTTGCTCCTCACTGACTTCTCTGAGCTTAGTTTTCCCTATGTGTAAAATGGGAATAATTCATCAGTATAAGAATTAAATGAGATATGGAATGAAAACTGTGCTGGCTCATAGCTAGTACTCAATATGTATTAGTTTATTTCTGTCTCTTTACCCTGCTTTCATGAGGCAGGAGCCAGAAAAAGGAATTAGGTTTCTTTTTAAAGCTCTTTTTGATATAGAGGTTTCCTTGGCAGTTAAGAGATGGAACCTGGCACGCTAGAGCTGAAACATCCTTAGAGGTGGTTTATAATCTTCATTTTATGGATGAGGAGACTGGGAGTCAGAAAGGTCAAGTCTAGGTAACACAGCTAGTCAAGGGTGGAGACGGGACTCCAACCCAATTGTTTACAACATCTGTCTTGGGCAGTCTCATTGCTTTTGGTTTTGTTCCTAGTGCCTCTTACAATGTGGGGGCTCCAGAGGTTTCTCCTTGAGGATTCGACAAGTAATTAGGCCTTGGGAACAAGGTCTTGCAGAAGGTGCAGAGAGGCCAAGATGAGGGCTTCAGCACAGAGAACTGGCAATAGCAAATCCACTGAGTGCCCATGGGTGCCTGGGACCATATTAACATGGTAGGTGGGCAGGGAGCAGGGCTTCTATGTGGTGGGATTTTATCTATGCCCTCAAGTGAGAGTATTATGAAACCCTCCAATTCTGGATTTTGGGAGCAGTAACTGCAGCCCTGGAGTGATTCACCCCTGCCAGTAATTAATAGTATTGGAAGAAAGAGGTAGGATTCATCATTTTCTGATTATTTTCTTCAGAGTTCAGCTCAATCCTTTCATCACAATCTTGATTCTCATCTCTTGTGGGTTCTTCAATAACTGACCTTGAAAGTAAGCTGTGACCAAGGCATTGATCATTAATTTTGAGATTTTTCTCCCAGAAGGAGAGGCAATGACCACCGGGAACCATGGAAAGTATGAAAATATGTTTACCATCCCCAGAGATGAGACTGTGACCCCTGGAATGGAAACTATGACCCTTGGAAAGCACAGTGTAACTCTGAAAGAGAAGACCATGACTCCTATGGATCATTCAACTGTGACCCCTGGAGAGATGACCATGACCCCTGTGGCTCATCTGACTGTGACCCCTGGAGAGACAACTATGTCCTCTGTCAGTCATCAGTCTGTGACTTCTGGAGAGATGATTATGACCCCTATGCATCATCTGACTGTGACTGCTGAAGGAACGACTATGATCCCTTTGAATCTTCAGACTGAGACCACTGGAGAGATGACTATGACACTTAAAAGGAAGTCTGTGGTCCCTGAAAAGGTGATCGTCTCCTCGGGAAGGATGACAATCACCTCTGATGGGCAGACTAAGACTCTTAGAGGGGCGAATTTGACTTCTGAGGTGAGGATTGACTGCCTGATGCGTGACTTTGGTCTTTAGATGGTAGCTAAAAGCAGAATGCTGTCCTGTGGCTCTGCCGTACAGCTCCCAGGAAACTCTCCGCTTGCTTTTGACAACCTCTTTTTTTCCACTGATGGAAGCTATTCCTTTGTCAACTCAAATGACCCTTCCAGCAATCCCTCCCTCCCTAAAAAAACAAAACCCAGAAAGCCCTGCTGTGAATCAAGGAGCCTAAGCTCTGATGGTGACAGAGGCAGGGGAAAGCCCTTGTCTTTTCTTCTAGGTGATCTGACAGAAGTTGCCTGTGCCCTCTAGTCACAAACCATTCATGGAACAAAGCTGGCACCAAAGCCACAGTGGGTCAATCTCTTTTTTGTTGGATAACTGGAAACATAAAATTCATCTGCATTCTCTGAGGTTCTTTTCTTGAATCTAACTTGCAATCCAATTGTCAACTTCCTGCCTTCAAGATCACCTTTCTCTACTGATATTTTTGGAAAGAGAGAGTTTGTGTTGAGTCCACACTGTTGTTTTCCAGTGTGGGTCATATGTTTTCCTCTCTGCCACGAGCAACTGTTCACTTCATTTTTGGCAGAGCATAAATCTCTATTTTCCACAATCCTCACGGGGCGCTGGGAGAAAGAAGGGGAAATTGAGTCTTCCAAGTATATTCTCTGCTTGGTAAAATCTTTGCTGATCCTGGAAAAACACCCCTCAAGTGAGAGGATTATGAAATCCTCCAATTCTGGATTTTGGGAGCAGTAAATTCAGCCCTGGAGTGATTCCTCCCTGCCAGTAATTAATAGTATTGGAAGAAAGAGGTAGGATTCATCCTTTTCTGATGGTTTTCTTCAGAGTTCAGCTCAACCCTTTCATCACAATCTTGATTCTCATCTCTTATGGGTTATTCTTTGTTCTCTCCACAAGAAGTGTTTGAAAGGAAGGCAAAACATGGTACTCTGTGTGTGTGTGTGTGTGTGTGTGTGTTATCTATATACTTCTCATAGGTATCCTCTACAAACACCAATTCCCACATATTAAACAAACACTCTTAAAATAAATGGAAAGAGACAAAGTCTCAACAAAGAAATAGAAGAAATAAAGAAAAATAAAATGGAAAATTTAGAACTGAAAATATAATAAGCAATATATATTTTTAATCACTGAAGAAACTCAATAGCAGAATGGAGATAATGGAGGAAAGAGTCAGTGAACTTGAAGATAGATTTATAGACATTATCTAATCTGGACAACAGAGAGAAAAAAAAGATTGAAAAAAATAAACACCATGTCAGAGACTTGTGGGACAATATCAAAAGCTTCAAAATTTATGTCATTGGAGGCACAGAGGAGAGAAGAAAGGCCATGGAACAGAAAAAATTTTTGAATAAACAATGTCTGAACATTTTCCAATTTTGGTGGAAGACATAAACTTACAGATTCAAGAAGCTTGGTAACCCTAAACAGGATAAATTCGAAGAAATTTGTGCCTAGACATATCATAGTCAAACTGTTGAAAACTAAATACAAAGAATGCGTATGATAATCTCTATGGTATCACTAAAGGAATAGGGAAACATATGTATCTTCCAAGAGAATAGAGATAAAAACAACTAAATAAGAAAAAATAATCGATACAAAATAATTCATGAAAGGAGGGCATATTAGAAAACACTAGGTAGGTGGTCATATATTTAAACACAACTGACCAGTAATTACAGTAAATGCATATAGACTAATACCTCAGTTGAAAGATAGAGATCATTATACTTCATAAAAATCATTTTTATGTTGTTTACAAGAGACACATTTAAAATTTAAAGATATAAAATAATTTAAAGTAAAATGATGGGAAAATATATTAAAGAACTAATAAAAATAGAACTTTTAGCTATGCTGATATTATTGAAAAAGTAAATTTTAAGGCAAAAAGCCCTACTAGAGACAAGAGGGATTTCCATTTCTGAGTACATGGAAGGACATTGTTCCTGCTACAACAACTAGCAAAAGCAAGCTAAATTACAAAATTCATATTGTTAAAGGTACCAGATAGCTGGAGAGGCAACTAGGACAAGATAAACTAACAAAATTTTAGAAAGGGGAGAACTATCCTGAGGTGAAAAGAAAGTAGCTAGCCACCTTTTTACCTGCAGACATTTCATTTCCCAATTCTGCACTGGGTTGGACTGCGCCAAAGAAAAGAATCATTGCTAAGGAAAAGAGAAATCAGCAAAATGTTTAAAAGTCACATGGAACTGCAATGGCAAATGGGAAACTTGAGGAACCTCAAATACATGGCCAGTTTTCCCAAAGGGCATTTGCTAGTTTTAGGAGTTGCACAGGATGCTGGCAAACCTGACCAAAAGTTTCTGAAAGGCAGAGTGAATTACCCTATAGTCTAACAGTGCTAAGGAAACAAAGATTTATTGTGGGAAGGAGTCTGCCTCAAATGCTTGGCCAGTTTCCCCCTCAGGACATTTGACACTGCACGGGGCAGGAGGCTGAGGAATTGGGCGGGAACTTCTAATGGTGAGAGTAGAATCTCCCTCAGTCTTTCAGGACTTAGAAGATGGAGATCCACTAGTTCTCAAACGAAAGTCAAGGAGGGCCATAACTGAGGAATGAAAACAAATCAGAGGTAGATGAATATTTCTAAAGCTGCAACTCAACCATGACTGGGCTCAATCCCTAAATAGATTGAACTGGCTCTTACTCTATCTGCATAACAGAGGAAAGGGAACACTTGCCACTGGAAGATAAGATCACCTTGAGCCTCTATCGTTAATTTATACACAATGCCCATCATACTAAAAAATAACAAAGCATGCAAAGTGACAAGAGAATATTACTACTAATCAGAGAAGAAACAAAAAATAGTAGACAAAAGAGATGACAGCTGGAAAATACCACTAGAAAATTAAAACCTATTTTAAAAAAGAATTGAATTACATATTGTCTTGGTTACCTAGTGCTGCTATAACAGAAATACCACAAGTAGATGACTTTAATAAACAGAAATTTATTCTCTCACAATTTAGGAGGCTAGAAGTCCTAATTCAGGGCTCCAGCTCCATGGGAAGGCTTTCTCTTTCTGTTGGCTCTGGGGGAAGATCCTTGTCATCAATCTTCCCCAGGTTTAAGAGCTTCTCAGTGCAGGGACCCCAGGTCCAAAGGATGTGCTCTGCTCCTGGCTCTTCTTGCTTCGTGGTGATGAGGTTCCTCTCCTCTCTGCTCGCTTTTCTCTTTTATGTCCCAAAAGAGATTGTCTTAGTCATCTAGTGCTGCTATAACAGAAATACCACAAGTGGATGGCTTTATCAAACAGAAATTTATTCTCTCACAGTCTAGGAGGCTAGAAGTCCAAATTCAGTGTGCCAACTCTAGGGGAAGTCTTTCTTTTTCTGTCAGCTCTGGAGGACGATCCTTCTCATCAGTCTTCCCCTGGTCTAGGATCTTCTCCACTCAGGAACCCCAGGTTCAAAGGATGCACTCTGCTCCAGGCACTGCTTTCTTGGTGGTATGAGGTCCTCCCTCTCTGCTCACTTCCCTTTCCTTTTATCTCGTATAAGATAAAAGTTGATGCAGGCCACACACCAGGGAAACGCCTTTTGCATTGGATCAGAGATGTGACCTGAGTAAGCGTGTTACATCCCACCCTAATCCTCTTTAACTTAATCTAATCTTGCCTCATTAACCACAGGCAGAGATTAGGATTTATAACACATAGGAAAATTACATCAATCACAAAATGGAGGACAACCAAACAATACTGGGAATCATGGCCCAACCAAGTTGACACAACACACAATTCAATCCATGACAGAGATTGACTCAAGATACAACCTAATCCTAGAGGTTGTTTCCTGCCTCATTAAAATCATAGATGGTAGGATTTACAACACATGGGATAATTCCAACAAGTCACAAAGTGGAGGACAACCACACAATACTGGGAATCATGGCCTAGCCAAGTTGACACACATTTTTGGGAGACACAGTTCAATCCATAATACATATATTCAATACAACTTTCTTCAATGATGAAAATGTTTTATAAACTACATTTTCCAATAAGGTATGCACTAACCATATGTGTCTATTCAACACTTGAAATGTGGCTAGTTAACTCCAAGGAAGTGAATATAAATTTTATTTAATTTTAATTAATTTAAGTTTAAATAGTCACATGAGCTAGGGGCTACTGTATTGAACAGCACAGCACTAGAATGTCCATAGCAACACTATTCCTTATACCTAAAAACATAAGACTTCCTAAATGACCATCTAGAATAGAATGACTAAGTAAATTGTAGTACATTTCCATAGTAAAATACTATACAGCAAAGAGAATCATTTACAGCTGCAATATAGATGAATTTTACAAACATTATATTAAGAGATGACAAATGAAAAAAAGTACAGGTATGATGCCATTTTTATAAAATACAAAAACAGGTAACATGTATAAGTCAGGGTAGTGATTACTCTTGGGGTATGTGCTTAGAAAGGAACATGAGGGGGCTTCTGGAGTGTCTGTTGGTCATAATGAGACTTCTTCTTATCAAGAATATAGGAGTTAACCCTGAGCAGCATTGACTGAGAATTTGGGGGTGATCACTTGAAGGCAAATGCTGCACCTTTTATAGCTGTAGATTATATCCTTCCTTAGTGATGGTAGAGAGAAGGAAGGCAAATGAACTGATCCTAAGGTGAGGGAAATGATAAAAAGGAAGACTGTATAAGAGAGAAGGCTGTTGTGAACAGGTGTGTGTGTGTGTGTGTATAATGCGTATGTGGAGGTGGTTATATCCTGGGGTGTCGGGTATTGGTAGTGGGATGAGAGTTTGGAGAGGAACTTAATAAATGTTGCTCTTGCCTTCCCTCACATTTCCATACTACCACAAACATGCTCCATTACCATCTGATACCAATGTCAATAAGTTATATGGGAACCTGGTGTTGTTGTTTGGTGCCATCGAGTCAGTTCTGACTTATAGCGACCCTATGCACAACAGAACGAAACACTGCCCAGTCCTGTGCCATCCTTACAATCATTTTTATGCTTAAGCCCATTGTTGCAGCCACTGTGGCAATCCATCTCGTTGAGGCGTTTCCTCTTTTTCCTTGACCCTGTACTTTACCAAGCATGACGTCCTTCTCCAGGGACTGGTCCTTCCTGATAACATGTCCGAAGTATGTAAGATGAAGTCTTGCCATCCTGGCTTCTAAGGAGCA